AGACATCAATTAATATGATACCACAGATTTTATCAATTATAAGTAATACAATCAGCTTATAACAATGGGATAAACAAAAGAGGTAAGAACACTTATCGCGATTGGTTTGTTTTCACGCCAACTTCTGTAATCTAACGAAGCGGTATCGACGCCATCTTGGTTTGTCAAAATTGAGATAGGTGGCGCTCGCTATCTGCTCCTGAATCAGGGGGAGGTAAGTCTAGATTGACGTGTCATAAAATTGGTAAGGCAAAGAGGGAGTTGCTAATCCCCTTCACTATACGTCCCTGGTTAGGTCCCTTGTTATTTTTGATTTTCATTAATGACTTGCCTAATGACATCTCATCCACTGCCCGACTATTTGCGGACGATTGTCTCCTCCATCATACTATTAAAACTCAACAAGATCAACAGAGTCTCCAACATGACCTATGTACCTTGGAAAAGTGGGAGAAGACCTGGCAGATGTCCTTTAATGCTGATAAGTGCTTCACCATACATGTCACTAGGAAGATGTTACCAATGTACTATGCATACCAGCTCCATGGTCAACCTTTAGAGGTGGTGTCGTCAAGTAAATACCTGGGCGTAACCATTAGCAACGACCTCTCCTGGAATGACCACATTGCAAATGTGACCTCAAAGGCTAATCGGTCGATAGGGTTTATCACACGTAACGGAGTGTAAGCCTGAAATCAAAGCAAACGTCTATTGTGCAATCATTTGGCCAACACTGGAGTATGCAGGCCCCCCCCCATCTGGGATCCCTACCATCACCAGTTAATCAACAAATTGGAACACACTCAAAGACGAGCTGCCCGATTTGTGTTTAACGATTACCAGCCTAGGGAACCTGGTGTTGTGACTAGCATGCTGACCAGTCTGGGCTGGGAAACGCTTGAACAAAGACGTGCTAAAGCAATGCTCCTTTTGTTCTTTAAGGGTCTTATGGCCTTGTTGACATTCCTCTACATTAATATGCATCAAAGTCTGACCCTCGAACACACAACATCAATACTTTCAGGCCCATAACCACAAAAACAGATAACTACAAATTCTAATTCTTTCCTAGAACAGTTACATCATGGAATCTTTTACCCAAAAACCTGAGGATCTGCACATCTTTAGAACAGTTTAGGGCGGGCTTATTACCCCTTACTGTGCAGACTGTGTCATCATACTAATTGTGATTGATTTAACTTGTAAATAGTGCCATTGTGGTTTTTATCTGACCTAGTCTGGTCATGCACACACAGATTTGTCATCATTCCACATCAGGTATTTGAATCTTGACGGGAAGAAGAAAAAGAAGGATTACATTTATGAAAAATGAAAATAAACATTTAACTTTATGCTTTTTGTAGTCAACATTACCATAAACCTTATTGTTTTATGCGACTTTGCTTTAATTTAATGAAAATTGAAATCTGAGAAAATACAGCTCAATACAGCTATAATTTATAGGTGTATATCGCTATATAGGTCTTTATAGCTATATAGCTCAATCAGCAGTGTACTGGACCTGCTGTGTACTGGAGCACCGGCAAATCTGGCTATGTAGTCAAATATGACTAGGTACATAAATACGATAAGTATCCCGAAGATGCAGATTCGGGCCTCAAGTGTGCTTCAGAAGATTCGTCTGAGCAGGAATGAAAACATGCAGTTAAAGTTGTTCAATTAGTGTTCATTTGCCGAGAGTGAGAGACATATTTGTTCCTTTCTTACCATCAGATACAGAGGATAAAAGATGCTTGTACGAAAACTTACAATGAGGAAAAATCAACAAAATCATCAGTAATGAATTTATTAGATAAAAATCTTTTGTTTCACCAACTCACTATTTTTGTCCACAAATTTTAAAAGGACTGCGTGCACGGGAGAAATTGCGACCACAATTGACTTGTTTGTTTATATTTGTCTTATACATGTACAGTAGTCATATCTGCTGATGCTCCAGTACCTGACGAAGGGCCTATATGAGAGAATATTTGAATAATAAGGGAAAGTATTAAATGTTGCCTTTTCCCTTCTGAATCTCATGTCCAAATGTATGAACTTGAATTACATTCAAGATAACCGGCTTTAAGAACCAGGCATTTTCAAAAGTTGAAATTATTTTTTGGACAATGGTCCAATATGTTTTTTACAAGATCTTCATAAATACAAAGTATATATTCATGTATGTACATTGATACATTTCAGGCTACAGAAGGAAAATGCAATACCAGTAAGCCAGGGATTTTTGATTTTCAAGGAAAGCACAAATGGTAACAATATGATTAAAAATGCTGAAACTTTTCTTATGAAACTTCACATATATGTGTATCATGAACAAAGGATTGCATAGCTCTTTAAGGTTTGTACTCCTCAGGTCAAGTTTATGACACAGGGTAATTAAAGTTCACTCTGATTAAAATCATTTATTTCATGGCTTCGTTAACTTTGTACTAGCATAGGACAAAGTTTATAAAGCTACAGTTGTATAGAACATATGATTTGAATCAGGTTGATTTTAAGATCAAAATATTGTAATGGTTTTCAGGGCCTTAATTTCTGATTGCTTTCACATTCTTTTTAAAGTCAACTGTGATATGTGCTTCCGAAGCAAAGAGAAATGTTTTGTGTAACAATTTTATTAGTGCAAGCTCATACCCTTAAGGTTGAGTTCTTGAAAAGGGGTTGAAGGTCAAATCATTTAAATTCTTAATTAAAGACGGTAACATAATTTTTGATAACTTTCTTTTTTCCTTGTGAAACTTCATAGAAGTGCCGATCACGATCAGTTAGCCTGTTGTGTAACACATTCAGGTCTTTATCAAAGAGGTTGAGGTCGTGGCAATGGGTCAAAATTCCAGATATTGTAATGCTTGTCCAAACCATAACTTATCATCAGCTTCAGATTTTCTCATGGTTTTTTATAGATGTGTATATCATGGTTGAACACAGTGACAATGTTGCGGAATACCTTCTAAGCTTAATTAGCTCACTTGGTTATTTTTTTCTGTCAGATTTTATATTTAAACATGATATGACCTAAAGGAAAATAACAAAGATACAAATCTTGTGACACAGAGATATTTTGTACTCAACATTACTAAAGTGCTTAATTAGGCCCTTCAACTTGACAAAACAATTTTATTAACTGAAAATGATGAGGTCTATTAAAATTACTTGTACTTTTATGATTGTTGAATACTGCCTCAAATCTATAGTATGTCAAGACAAATTATGAATTTTGTTTGTGATTTTATTCAACATTCATGCCACATTCTTACTGATTGATTTCTGTTCAATTTGCGACATATCATTTTGTGGAGTTTTGCAGTATGATTGTTGATATACATGTGAATAAGGATGTTTATAATATACATGTAAATAAGAACATTTATTAAGTTCTGTATCAGTGCTAGTCAGCTGTTCTGTTTTCTTTAAGCTATACATATATGTCATATCATTGTCATCTGGTTACTCAGGGAAGCATGGAGGAAGTTGGGAGATATGTCCAAGAAAGCAGCCATGTTCCAGTACATTACTTACTTAGGGAATATAGACCCTGAGTGGCAAGAAAAGGTAACTTTTAAAACTAGTCTATATTGTATGACATCAAAGTTATCTAAAAATCAGGCAGGCAGGCTGTCTTAAATTAAACTTCAGCTGGTAAATAAGAAGTGAAATTGTTCAGTGCAAAAATGTTGGCAAATGTTTGAGATGGAAGTAGATCTCAGTTTACCTGTCAAATCTTTTAGATACAGAAGTCAACCTGATAAGATAGGGGTACAGGGTCACAGAAGTTGGCCAAAAAGGATTAGGGTAGGGTGTCACAAAAGTCAGACTGTACGGAAATAGGGAAAGAGAATCACAATTATCTAGGGAGTGGACAGGTGTAAGTCTTGGTTTATCTATGAATTCTTTAAGGTACAGAAACCTGATTGAATTGATGTGAGTGGAAAGGGAGTGGGGTAGGGTGCAGTGATATTCTCAGAAATCTAATACTAAAGTGATATGAGTGGGAGGGGAGGGAAAGGGTTGGCAGTGACAATCTTCTTAGAGAGTGGTTAATTTATCTTTGAAATCTTGCATTGTAGGTAAATAAGTCTGACTGTGGAGATGACCTTGGTGACACTGCCTCTGTGGGAAGTGGCTGGGTGTCTGTCAGTACTATGTCCAACACTGACACAGAGATCGCAGATGAAAACAAAACTCTGTTTGATTGGTGTAAGGATGGAAACACACTACAAGTCCAGAATATCCTGTCTGGTTGTGATGGTAACGAGGTCAACATCACAGATGAAGCAGTAAGTTTGTTCAGAAAATAAAGATTACAAATTCAAATGGTTCTTACAACAGCTGTTTCCAGTAAATAAATAACTGACAGGACAGCAGTGCGTGGTTGATGTTCAGCAATATCTCTGATGCTGTTAAGTATCAGTGTACCCATATGAGGCAGGATAAGGATAAAGCTACATCACTTTTGTTTCAGGGAATGACACTTCTCCACTGGGCATGTGATCGTGGATTATCTGATATGGTGGATGTCCTCATTAAACTAAAAGCAGACATCAATGCACAGGTAAGTCATATTAGGTGTATTCTGGTGATAGCAATATATATCTATTTTGTACTTTCATTCAGTACATGAGTACTGAATATAAAATAAATCTGATGATGTCTCATGCTTAAAATATATATAAAACATGTAACCTTCATCCTTTCTCCTTTGAAAGTTGAAATCGTCTTGATCATTTTTATACGCCCGTCAAATTTGACGGAAGTATTATGGTATGGGGTTGTCCGTCCGTCGTAAACTTTTGTTTCTCCGGCAATATTCTCCTACATTTTTCGACCGATCTCTTTGAAACTTGGTATACATTATAATCATGATATGAAGTTGTGTCTCCCTTAAATAAATTTCGATTTGACAATTTTTCCAAAAGTTATTGCCCTTTGTTCATTTCAGTATTTGATTTTTTGTCCGGAGATCTCCTCCTACATTTTTCAACGGATTTCTTTGAAACTTCGTATACATTATAATCATGATATGAAGTTGTGTCTCCCTAAAAAGAATTTTGATTTGACTATTTTTGCAAAAGTTCTTGCCCTTTGTTCATTTCAGTATTTGATTTTTTGTCCGGAGATTTTCTCCTACAGTTTTTATAGCATGTCAGCTAACCACTCTTAGAAAGATGCAGATCTTATTTCAATGTAAGAAAGTATATAATACTATATGGCATTCGACGGGCGTATATTGTTCCGCCCCGCGGTACTCTTGTTTTGTTAAGAAAGCAGTAGATGCATTTAGCACATCTTAAATGTGACATTGTAGATAGCTTTTTGTTTTGACAAGAAATTGTTGTGTTTTCAGGACCTTGAGCTACAAACACCACTGCATTTTGGTAAGTATGAAATTCATATACAATTAATTACATGTACTGTCACAAGTATCTATAATCTTGTTATTGTAATCTCAGATAACTGCAATACTTTATCAATCTTGAAATAGAATTATAGTTCCATTGCAGTTTATTTATAACTGTTTTAGTTTGGTAACATTAAGTAACTGTTTTTCTAAAAAAAAAAAAAATGACTTTAAAGATATTACACAAAAAATGCAGAAAATAAGATCTAGCCATTGAAAATGTTTCTTAAAATTAATCAATATTTGCAATATTATTTGCTTTAACTAAACATGGTTAGCTTTGTGAGATAAAAAAATCAGCATCAATATGTTAGAGTTCTGATATTGTTTCTGGAATTATTTTGCATCAGATCAAAATAATATATTTCAACAAAAAACATGTATTTTATCCAATTTGTATCTTTGCATCCTATTTCTCTCACAAATCCGCCGACAAGCGGTGATTGCATGAAATATAAGCGTTGATTGTATGTTTTCCCAGCAAATCCAGAGTTGTCTTCCATGGTCTGCTACTGTTGATACGACCTCAATGCATTGATGACGTGACGTCGTATACTTTTGTTATGACTTAGATCTCGCAAAACTGCACAAGATTGTCTTCCCCCTATGGGGTGACAAGCTGATCTTTTCTGGCTAAAAAAGGGAGACACACCTGTGAAGGGTGGGTGAATAACTGTAAAGAAATGAATGGGGTTAATTTGTAGCTTCATATTGTGATTTGATCCCAGAGATTTTAAAAACAGGGTTCAGTTGTACAATAGCTTCATGTGTAATCCAGAGGAATGTAGGAAACAAAGGTTCTGCTTTTAAAAAGCTTTATTTGATATGCCATTGTTATAACTCAGTGTTCTATTTCTTTGATAGCTGTGTGCTGTGAGCAAGAGGAAGTTGTAAGGCAATTATTAAACAGTGGAGCCAATTTGTCCCTCAAAGACAGTGACGGTCTGAATCCTGTGGAACTGGACACATCTATAGAAATAAAAGAGTTATTTGAAAAATACATTTGATTGAGGTTCTACCCTTTCTTAGACATTCCAGATTGGTTCAGCCAGCCATGTGTTGTGGAGGTCCAATCTGTTTCTGTACTGATGATCTTTCATCTATTTATAATTATTGAATGAACCAAATTATTTTGAATGTGAATTGGAAATCCAGCTAAAAACAAAAAAACAAAACTCAAAAGAAAATACAGTTGTACAAATTTTAATACAATTGTCTCCATTATGATATTCAAGTTTTCATTGTTTGTATGCTGAACATTCTTTATGTTTGACCCAGTTGTAACAGTTATTAAAAAGGCTGACTCTAATAATTGGTATAATTGACAAGAGGAGACTGTTCAGATTACCTCCCCTTGTTTTACTAAGCATTTGATATATACCTGCAAGTTCATTATGAAAAGGAAGACAATAGTAAGATACCCTATTGGTTTTATTATGATGACCTCACATTAAATTGTACTTTATCAAAATGTCTGCTTGCAGCGTTTAAAATTCAGTGGTATTTATACATGTATATGATTTTAAATTTTTGTATTGGTTGAAATATTTTCCCATTTATCCTTTATTTGTTTCAATATAGATGTCTCACATTCTGGAATCTCAATACATACACCAATTCATAAGACAGAAGAAATGTCAACAAATTTGTATATACCCAGAAGATCAATCCCATTAAAAACTTTTATGAAAATGGATTTAAACACAGAATGAAAAGTTGAAAACAGGCATCTGCATGATATGAATGTTCTGTATATGTGCTATTCAAATTCTGCAGTTACATACTTGAACTACTTGAAGGTGTTGATATGGGTAAGATTGGGTGACAACACTTCAATAGGATTTTACAGCCTAACATATGCAGTGGCGAGAATATTTATTACCTGGGTAAACTTTCATGTTGGACCAAGTATACATACAAGGCATCTCAATTTTGTAACTGAATTTTTAAAGGATAATTTCATTTGCGAATTTATGTGTATGCATATAAACGTTATTATTTTTTATATTTTCATGTAATTTCAATTCTGTTAATTTTGATTTGCTGAATTTTAGTTGAACACTTTTGATGTTGTGTGTGATGTGTGTGTTGAATGGTTTACATCATTAGTAAAAGGGTAAAAGACTTGGCGAAGTTTTGTAAACCCTATGCTTACTTGAAATAAATCACAAGCATGAAAGGATAGAGCGTTCAATTTTATTTATCTTGATGGAAAAAATTTGAAGAAAAAAACCACCCAGTACAACTATGGCACAGGATGATATTTGATGAAATAAGGGTAGAGTGAACACAGAACATGTACAGATCAGTGGCAGATTCAGTGATCAATATGTGTGTGTTTGGGGTGGGGGTCGGTTGGTTCCAAATTTATTGTGGGTGTTTCCAAATAGGAAAATGGGTTAAAAGTATGTGGTTTTCGAAGAAAATAAATTCCAGAAGTCCAGAAAACCAACTCTTTGATCTACCATTGCATCTATGCATCACATGTTGTGCAATAATTTGTAATACTGAAGGAGCAAAATATTGACGTGTATGAAAATAAATTTGTGGACATAATTTCGAAAATTGTGGACATAACTTCGAAAATCCATACCAAAAAAACGTAAATAACCATAACGATACATTATATTCCTACTTAGGCTTGAAAAAAGATATTTTACAGAAATTACCAAGGGCCATAACTTTGTGTATATTGAGGCAAGGGGCCTGAATACAGTACATCGCACCCGCTTTTCCACAATAAACAAAAGTAATTTTGGTGAACCAATGCAACTTAATCACAAAAAATGAACGAAGGGTGATAACTCTTGTATATTGTAGTTGGGCTCGAGACCCGATTTCAGTTCTATCAGAGATGTGTAGTGGATCCCTGGTTTTATGTACTAAAAGTTTGCTGCTGATAAGGCAGTTGTAGAACCTATAAATAAACCTACCTATTAAAATATGACGTGCGTCAAGAAAAAACACGCCCACTTTGACACGAGTTCTTTATAGACGGATTGATAGCCAACAAATCAGAATGTTATTAAAGTATGAACAATGGATAACACACTGGACGTTATTTCATTGGTCAACTTCTAAATTATGACGTCATGAAACAATGCTTGGCGACGTCACCTTCTGTTCTTATGCCATATAATAGTTCATTGCAATTGTTACCCCGATTGGAAACAGGAATAATGTCTACCCAATAGAAACAGGAATAATGTCTACCATATAGAAACAGGAATAATGTCTACCATATAGAAACAGGAATAATGTCTACCCAATAGAAACAGGAATAATGTCTACCCAATAGAAACAGGAATAATGTATACCCAATAGAAACAGGAATAATGTCTACACAATAGAAACAGGAATAATGTATACCCAATAGAAAACAGGAATAATGTCTACCCAATAGAAACAGGAATAATGTCTACCCAATAAAAACAGGAATAATGTATACCCAATAGAAACAGGAATAATGTATACCCAATAGAAACTTGTGGATTTCTAGATATAATATCTGAACGTTGTGGTAGAAAAATAGGTCCCCAAACTCGTGATAGTTGATGATCATGTTTATCTAACTCTCGTTAGTTAATTTTCTCAAACTGTATAAAGACACAAGGTTTTGATAAACATGATAATCAACCTTCAATCTTTTGGAAACTTCTATTATTGTAAAGTTGATGGTCTTAAAAGTCGAAACACGACTTTCAAAAACGGAAACGGAAAAGAAAATATCCAGGTGCTTATAAGCATAAAATGATGAAAGATTTTCCCAGTCAATTTTTAAATTGTGCTTTGAAGGGCTACTCGACACTTAAGGGTTTACGCTCACTTTCGCTCTGTGTAGGAAGGGGTTATGCTCACTTTCGCTCTGTGTAGGGAGCGAAACCCCTGTAGCATCGAGGATGGTAAAGGGCGAATTTAATGCTGGGCGAATATTGATTTTATCAGTTAAGGACAAAAGTTTGAATGAGCGAAAAATTCCCGATATATTCCACAGTATCTGACACTTTGGTATTTCTGTTGAAATATCCTTAAAGACATTTATAATATAACTAAACAATCCGATGTCTTTGTTAATAAGAGAACTAATAAAAAAAATGTAGAAAAAAATGTAGATCCTCGTAAAACATCACTTGAGCATTATAAAAAAACAGCTGCCGATCTGCCAGTCCGAGTTACAATAGACTACATATGAAATACAATGTATCTGCCAGTCCGAGTTACAATAGACTACATATAAAATACAATGTATCTGCCAGTCCGTGTTACAATAGACTACATATAAAATACAATGTATCTGCCAGTCCGAGTTACAATAGACTACATATGAAATACAATGTATCTGCACAGTTCCGAGTGGACAATTCTCCTTCAGGTGTCAGCATCACACACTGGTTACTGACATCCGGTTGACTACTGGCCCAGAAGGCGGTCGATATTTCTACTCCTGTCGAATCGAGGTATTTACTTCCGTCATAGAAACCAGACACAAACAGACCAGCTTCGTTAACTGTGAACATAGAATATCGATGCATGCAAATTCGGAAAATTTTGAAGACCTTGCGGTTCTTTCTTTAATAACCTTCGTAATAAAAAAAATATAATGGCAAGTTTTGTACAGATTATTTCTTTTTGTCCCGTGAAGACATTCTCAAACTATAACAGATCTTTTATTCTGGAACCACACACCTTACTTAGGAATCATAACATACATTTGTATGTACTCCACATGTACAGCTACACTCGTTAGAAAGGTGCTGCACTAATTACGTAAGTGCCACATCCCTCGCAGCAAGATCCCTAACCATCCTTTACAAGATTGGCACATCCCTTACACGATTACCACAGCACTTACTCAGAAAAGAGGTATGGCGAACTTAAGCTGTTTTGACCTAAACGTAACCAACAACAAAAAACAGAAATATTTTCAATTTCGGCAAATTTAGATATTCTTAGTAAGACAAGTATATCCAAATGTCCATAATAATAAAATCTTGGCTATGTGTCCTATTTTGAATAATATGCAAGAAAACGTTGGTTTTCCTGACTTTAAATGTGTCTTTAGGTTGTTGAGCTTAATTATCAATCCCGAAATAAAAACAAAATTTGGGAAAACAAAATTTGAACAAATCATTTATCGGGTTGTTGCCTTTCGTCTGGACCAAATATGTGAAAGTTAGGTAGGTAGGCTAGAACCCATGCAATATTATATTTATGACTGTTCTAGAAAAATATATTTAACAAATCAATCGGAGTTGCATTTTAGATTTTATAAATTTGATATTTTCGATATTTGAGATATGTGGAACGAATATTGTATTTCAGAACCTATCAGCAGTAATACCGCGCTGATGTATAAACTATCAAAAGGTCCAACACACCGTGGGTATACATGATCTGAGAGCTGGTATATATTACGATACACTGAATACTAATAGTCTAGATTTAAATTCAATTTGTTAACTAAATGTATTTGTAATATTTTACTATCAGTTATTCCTGAATAACAACACTAATAAGCTAGGTTGTTATGTATCACAAAGTTCATGCAATGAAAGAAAATGATAGCGACGTGGATTCTCTTTAAAAATACAAAAAAAAATTGTCAATAGGCATTGAACCGATATAGTCCGATAATAAATCCTGAACATTCAATAGCGGTATTACCCTAGAAATGATGTTTATTGAATTAATGCATATTTTTTTTTTTTTTTTTTAAATTTTTTTCTTTCCGTGTTATATTTACTAAATCATGTAAAGCTCATTATAGGAGCGATTGGTTGTACACTCGTTTATTTGTAGACCGTGTCAATGCGGGGAACTGAAATTGATGCTTAGCGTACACCTCGTCGTTTACCAATGTTAGACGTTTTATTCATGTGATATAATATTAACATAATTTTCCTTAAAAGATGGGTCATTTGGTGGCAACAAATACACGATACGAATAAACGTCTAGTATTATACTTGGTGCGTGTATAAACGCTTTACACAAGTTTACGGTACATAGAACCGGTTAAACAATTATACAATCAAACAAGCGCAAAGGTGCCTTATAAATAACTAACCATGGCTTGGTGACACTGAAATGACGTTTTGTAATCCATTTATCTGGGCAGTGTAGGTGAAGGTTATGAGCATGGCGTTCAGCCTTTGACATTCCCTTTGCGCATCTGCCTGTGTCTTGCGCGTGTCAGATAGCTTGTAGGACAAACCAGAAGACAACAGGGAGGTGAACCCTAGTCCCTCGGCATAATCTGAAAACCGAGGATTAGATATATGCGTATCACTATATTATTTTTTATATCATAAAGAGGAACGGAACGAAATGTTTGCTTGTAAGTAATTTTTAAAAGATTGACGGAAATGAAAGCCAATGCTGACGTATTGCTACGTAAACTATCGAATTGTTTCACCCAAAGGCAGTACCACACCACTCAGCGATAAGAATGAACATCATGGTTTTATTTGGTATGCGCAGACATGAAGCCTAATGTGCTTGAATTGCTCTCATATCTGTGACTTTCAAAAGTGGCTGAATTTATTTTAAAAATCTTGAGATGAAGCAAGCTATATCATTGCTATCATTATTCCATATCTGATGATTTTTGGGAACATTCAACTCATTTCACTCATAGGAAGCTCAAAATTAATCAAAATCATTTATTTTAACAATTTTGAAATGTGTTATCCAGCAACGTACTGTTTATTTTCTACGCTTGACCAACCCTTAGACATTTGACCCTTGTAAGCACGAAAGTAATTTATTCTGATAAACTTGTTATCATATCACATCAACAGGCTATAACAAATATTTTTATTCTTGACTTCATGTACCTTTACCATAAGATCTGACACCTATTAGTCCAGGGCACAATGGAAGTTTGTAACGTCATTCATTTAAACAAACTTGATAGCACTTCGCCCTCTATATTTAGAAGTCGTTGAAAGATGTTAATATCATTTTTACCCTGTGACATTGAACATAAGTCAATGTGATGTCTGTTCGTAAACTTTTTTGCACGCACTGCAAAAGAGTGACTGGTGTATTACCAAGACTCAAAACCTTTCAATTCTTCAGATGAAGTTATATGATTGTTTAAACAAAGTTGCCCCATGTGACCTTCAATAAAGGTCAAGGTAATTTCTTGCTATTTGAATTCCTAAAACATAGCTTCAGTATGTTTTCCCCTGTGACCTTGGACAAAAGTCAAGTGGTTTTTTTGTAAACTTTGAAATTATTAAAGCCAGTTAAATGATGGCCAAATATCATGATTCTATTGTGTTTCATTTCTTCAGGAGAAGTCATTAAACACTTTAACAAATTATACGTTTAAATGTCATACATCTATGGTCTCCCGCTTATTACAAGAAGTTTGGGTTGGTTTAATTTTGATTAGCGTCCTATTAACAGCTAAGGTCATTTAAGGACGTGTTTCCATGTGTGTAGTGTAAGCGTGCTTCCGTGTTGGTATGCAGGAGACAGGGTATGTTGGTGTGCTTGTCTCCTTGTGATAGCGCGGATCTGATGCCGACTTTATAGTGCTTTCTCACTGAAATACCATGCCGAAGGCCCAATCACAGCATTCCATCGGTCACATTATACTGTCAACGGGTGAACCAGTTGTTGCCATTCCCCTAAATGCTGAACGTTAAGCAAGGAATAGCAACTACCATTTTTAAGGACTTGGCCTTGAGACAGAACCTTATTGCCTTCCTTACATGGGCGAACGCTCAACATTAAGGCCAAAAGTGAGGTGTTGCCACGCAAGGCGCTAGGAAGTAAAAGGTAGTTAGAAGTAGAATGAAAGATTAAGATCCCAAATACTGCAATGGGTGCAGCAGATTTATGTTGGTCGCTTTTGTGTCCCTAAATAGAGGACACCAAAGCAAATCTCCAATTTTGCAGGGGGTTCCCGCATTAGTCGCCTCCTACGATACACGCAGTAGGTAACAGCAGGTGCATTCTTTTCCCGATTCCCACCTGCAGGGGTGTCATTACAAGAGGTTGTTCGAAGTGTCTGTGATACCCGACCTCTTCGACAAAGAAGTTCAGTTTTACACCCAATGCTTCTTACGAGGATTTTCTTTTTAAAGTTGACGGACGAACGGACACAACACCTTCTCATAAGATCGTATACATTTATGCTAGGTGACATAAAAATAGGGCAAGTACATTGTTTAAAAATAAAATTTCACGGTGGTGGTGATGGAGGTTTTGTAGTCAGGAAAACCGTCTGGATCTACCACCGTAAAGGTGTTGATTCCATATCGAAAATCATTTACTTTCCCAGAGTTGAAAGGAAGAAATCGTTACAATTACACAATAGTGATCAACTGTACAACCGTACCGTAGTTAAAGTATAATGTGTTGTAAGAATCGGGAGACATCACGTTGGGGTCGCTCGGTGTAAAAGATCCAATAACATTCGTTGTTCCATAGCCGATACACTGGTACGTGGCCTTTTCAAAAGAGACGACCAGGCACTGTTCTGTTGTTGTACACACGGTGACACATTCCACTTTACTTCTTGTCGTTGTATTCACAGTGATATTTGTGATAGAAACACTCCCGGGTGCCACTCCAGCATAGCCCCATAAGGTCCCGTTCCGCGAGCGGTTAACAGACACGGGCTCTGTGAAAAGGAAAACTCAAAGTACAACTAAAGCCTGTAAAACAGTTTACCTGATTATTAATACACGTACCGTATTTATATATGTACAAGAAACTTGAGACAGATGTGTATATGTAATTACTAAACAAACACAAAATAAACATTGTCACTCTTTACATAGGTTCCTTTAGCTGTGGGGTGCCGCACCTGGCAGCATATATATTTTCAGTTCGGAACAAACCAGTTTCAGCTGTAACCTGTAGCTATCGAAGTGCGTTTCAGTATTTTGACAAAATAACTATATGAAACTGTTTTTTTCTGAACTGAAAAATATATATTGCCAGGTGCGGCACCCCACAGCTAGAGAAACCGGTGTAGAGAGTGACCTGGGCAATACGTACTGTCTGCTTGACTAGAGTGATATTGTCAGAATTGTAGTGTCTTTTATAAGAATTGAAAGTGATTTCCATCCTTGTGAAAATTTGTATGCTAATGTCTAATTTTGGTGTAGAGTGAGTAGCCCCTGATATCATAAGCCATGCGACTGTAGGAGGGTTATTCGCGTTGCCTTTGTCCCAGACGGTATAATAAGTAGGCTCAGAGACTTCCAATGACAATTGTTTTATTCTCATATTGTATTGTTTATGAGAATAAAACAATTGTCATTGTCATTGACCTGTTTTAATGTATTTATGATAAATGTCAACAAGTTGACCATCAATATCATGCCATTACTACAATGAATATGTTATACAGCGCAAGAGTCGGAAAAATACACAATTAAACAATAGTGCAAATAACTTTCACAAATTTTCAAATGCTAGCTATAATTAAGAGAAAATGTAAGAAACATACTAAAACATCAAGCGGTGTTTTTTTATCGCAGAAAACAAGCACATTATGGACATACATTTAAACTTGTAGGATTGTAACTCCCACCATATTACATTAATTCCTTACTCTATTCATTTATATACGACTATCTGACATTTCCCAATCGTACTTATAAATACCATCATCTTGTATTATTTCCTACCCTATTTACAAATACCAACATCTTGTATCATTTCCTACCCTTTTTATAAATACCATCATCTTGTATCATTTCCTACCCTATTTACAAATACCACCATCTTGTATTATTTCCTACCCTATTTATAAATACCATCATCTTGTATTATTTCCTACCCTATTTACAAATACCAACATCTTGTATTATTTCCTACCCTATTTACAAATACCAACATCTTGTATCATTTCCTACCCTATTTATAAATACCAACATCTTGTATCATTTCCTACCCTATTTACAAATACCACCATCTTGTATTATTTCCTACCCTATTTACAAATACCACCATCTTGTATTATTTCCTACCCTATTTACAAATACCAACATCTTGTATTATTTCCTACCCTATTTACAAATACCACCGTCTTGTATTATTTCCTACCCTATTTATAAATACCAACATCTTGTATTATTTCCTACCCTGTTTACAAATACCAACATCTTGTATTATTTCCTACCCTATTTACAAATACCAACATCTTGTATTATTTCCTGCCCTATTTACAAATACCACCATCTTGTATTATTTCCTACCCTATTTACAAATAGAATATATGATTATTTATCTGTCAACCAGATTGCATTCATTGTCCAGTAACTGCAGGCTGACTTTCCATAGAGTATATGGAAAATGGGAAGGGCTAATGTAAATATTCCTGTGTACATCATCAACGTTCAGTTGAAGTAATTTAACTGAGACACACACGTGGTCAAAACACATGGCAGGGGTAGACATTGCCATGTGTTTGTTAGGGCTGTCACTAAATGACTGTATTCATAAGGGGAATTTTGGAAAGGGAGTATTTGTCGAAACGTCATATAAACACGAATATATACAAAAAGAGTGAATAGTCAAAATCAAGCGTAGTTGATTAAGCCAGCAAGATGAGCCATGTTCTGGAAGGCCTGTGGAGGTTATCAAGTGTTAATACATTTATGCATGATCGTTAAGGTATGCGAAAGCTGTCCCCGCGATGGGTTCCGAAATCTTTCACTGACAACCGGAAGTCTGCGTGCTACGATGTCCCAAACATTTTAGGCACGGAAAAATCAGGATGCGGATAACTTTATTGAGAATAATGTTACTAATGACAAAGTATTGATCCATCATTATGACCCAGAGACCAAAGAACAAAACAAGCAGTCGATCAGCGTCACTTTATCTGGTACTAAAATGTTCAAAACCAACCCATTTTTTATTGATTACATGCCATGTGGCCGAACTGTTGCCGGACAGTATTTCTCTATTTTCTTGCACCGAATACAGGTTGCTTTCGTTGCAAAATGTAAATGTCACCAAAGACGTGTTGCTCAAACATGACAATGCCAGAATCCATGATACGTATGAACTTGCAGTTGACGCATTGAAGTTTCGCCTCATCCGTCCTACTCACCGATATACTTGCTATTCCTAAATGCGTGGACGCCATTTCTTGTCTGATGATTAACTTAAGACATCAGTTGAGGAGAGGTCGTATGGCAAACCCTCTGGTGTCTATCAGAATAGTATTTAGATAATTAAACATCGACCTTCATGGTGATTATATGGAGAAAAAAGTGACAGTTGATGGCCAACAGATTACTGAATGGCCCTGTTATATGTATAGCCTGTCGCCAATACTTATTGCATGTGTTTTAGAGATATTATCGGTATTTAGTGAAGTTGAGTGAAGGGTAACAAGTAGTTTGTCATTGTTACTAAAATTACCAACTTGTTTTAAGACGTGCATGTCATTTACACAGGAGCAGTAAGCTGGGGAAACAGAATAGCATGGATCATAGACAGATCTTAAGGTTGCTGATCTTTCCTACTTAATTCATTGTGCATGCCGAATAATTGACGTCCTCGAAAACGTCGTGGAAACGCGTACTGGTTTCATTTTTTTTTAAATTTCAAATCAGAATTCTTTTTAACCTTTGGTCTACAGTAGGTGGTGAAGTTGTCTCGTGCATTCGAACCGAATGTCTTCACAATGATGGAATTATGTCACGTTGATATTTACATTTGCGCTGCAACCCACTATATGATTTGAGTATCAAAGCAAAAACTCTCGTGACGTAACACGAGGTTTACCTATGACGTCACAGATTAATCTTGTTCAATAAGAGTCTTGTCGCTTCGCTTCGGATAAGATGGAGTAGGAGACTGTATAGTATGACCCTTGTCTCCCCTATTTGTCCCTGCGTCAAACGCTCAAATGACTACGGTTAATTATAGGGCCGTTCTGCCTATGTCGTTTAAAGAACGACGCATATACAAAACGCAATAAATCAATTAATTATTTGAGATCAAACGAATAAAGTTAAACAATTGTTCTATAGTAAAAATGTAAATATATGGATTGAACGGTGTTTTTAAAATTTTCATAGCGGGCTTCATGCAATATGGCCGATTTGCGTTCATACCGGCATGAAAATTTAAGAAAAACCGCCGTTCAACTCTATGTGAAAGATCTTGTTGATTCCTGCACATATATAACAGTTATTACTAAAACAACTTACTTACCTACAGCAGACACATCACATCCAAGAATGTCGATTCGTAAGCAAACAGATGATTGCCAAGACTGTGGAACTAACCGAACGAACTTCGCTGTCACAGGAGAAGGGAGGTAATTCGTCACTACAGTATCCCGGTCAACATTTCCTGGAAATACCTGCAAAGTTTCAAATGTACTAGCCCAGCCCTTCATACATACATATATGTCATAAACAAAAGTTTGGCGTAACAAATATATCGAGCCATTTCAATAAGTATATGTTTATCCTTTTGTGTTTATCATAAGTTTCTCATTTAAATGTTCATCAAATTATTTAACATCGAGTTTAGTTAATAGTTTTACACGTAACTATTTTAGTAATGATAATAGGACATACAAAGTACAAGGATAAATGAAATCGATTTGTTAAAACTATATATAGGTGCCCTACCTTTGGAGAATTATTCTCTGTGACGTCAGTCCAGACAACACCGTCATTGCTGTACCGTACAAGGTAAGACTTCGTGTAAAATATAGAACTGGGATATCTGGAACTCTGTGCCCTTCCCTGGGTAAAAACAGCTACCATTGTCTTCAGGCTAGCGAATTCTACCTGTTTATGAGCAAATATGTAATTCAACAGCTGAAACATATTACTTAAAAGTAAATGTAGGAGATGGTTTCACATATGCTCTAAGCTTGTTACCAAATACCTTGTAATACTATTGAACTGTATTTGTACTACACTATATTTCAAAAAAGTATTGTTTAAACTAAAATTTCAGTAGGAAATACCTGTATTTGTATTTGGACGAGGAATTTATTACAGCATTAAGCTTATATTCCTTTCCCTTTGTTATCCTTATAATGAACGTTTTATCGCTCGCTCTTCTAGTTACTCAACGAAGCCATTTCATATTTCACACTACCATTATCAGTACCATATAATCGGGATTGCAGTCGTTTTGTGATATTGTAAAGTCAAAAAGTGGAATAATCGGTGTGAGTTTTGAGGAATTCAAACAGATATTTTGATCGATCTTGCACATCCTCTTCTCAAATAGGTGTCTTCTATCAAAAATTACGTCTACGTTTTCTTATTATACGAAGTTTCTTTTCAACGAAAGGTGTACGGCGATTTACAATGTAACTTTATGGTTGTAAATTATTTTGCAGCATATTTTGTTAAAATTACAACAAAAGCCAAAACGAAATGTACTGAGAACGATATAATGGGGATGATTGAGGTTCTGGTTGGCAATATCTTTGCTGAGTTCGGTATTGCCAATTTGTCTATGTTTTCATATAAGCTGAATTTATTGATGAGTTTATCATGACTGGAAACCTAGCTATAATCCTTTAATTTCAAAGTTAAATATATCAACGATGTGCTGTCTTTGAATAACGAGAAATTCATTGACCTCATTGATCGTATAAACCCTCCAGGGCCTGAAATCAACGACACCACAGACTGTTCTACCGCAGCTGCTCCCCTCGATCTTAACTTACAACATGAATCACAGGAACGACTTTTCTACTGAGCTGTACGCGATAAGCGGGACGATTTCGACTTTCTGATTGTGAACTTGCCCTCTCTGGATAGCTACATCCCTGTTCTCCTACGTACGGCGTTTCTATGTCGCAGTTGATGTTGTACTCAAGAGCTTGCTCCGAATATCATAATTTCAGTGATAGATGTCAACAAACTTACTATGAACACGTTTTAAGGTCGCCATCAGGATCTCACAGGGAAACATGCTATTTCTTTGTGTTAAATGAAGGTCGATGTTTTTTTATGATGCTCATAGAGTGTCATGCTGTTTTGTTAACAGTTCTCGATTCGATGACGTGCCATTACATGGATTCGACTTAGGTTGTCATGCTCACCCTTCCAGAACACCTGGTCTAATTCTCCTTGAAATGTTTCAGGCTTCTCAATTCTTATCTTTTCTTTGTTCATATTTTTCTCTAGTTTTATTGATTTTGAGTTCGAATTGTGGATTTGTTGACATTTCAATACTCTCTCGTCGTTTTATGTATGTACGCCATAACTTTGTCTTGTTGAATAGAAAACTTATTAAAATATACTGTAAGTTTGTCTTTGTAAGACTAGAAACAAAACGTGACGAGTCAATGTATCGACTTAATGAAGACACAGTAACAAGAGAATACCGAAGTGACAACAAAATCGTAATACAAACTTAAAATCGTTTAAACAAGACCATGATATAAACAAAGGAAGGATTAAATCTTGAAAAATTGTGTAACAGGTGTTCCGGAAAAGTAAAAACGGCTTCCGTTTCATTGACGACACCTGTCATATAAATCTAGATCCAATCCAAGTATTGTTACGTCCACAAGACGGGAACTGGGATAGTGACAACGTACAACAAAGGTCATAATGGCCACCATCCAAACAACAAGACACACGATATGGAACATAATCAAGGACATCGAACTTTATATCACAAAATGAACAAAACAATCCCGATAAGACCCTAATATCGACCATTATAATGAAAGTTACAGTGTCTGTGTTGGTGATATACAACCGTGAACTATTTTCCGTCACGTTTGATTTATATCTCTCTGAAAATACTGTTGGTATATTTGAATCACCCATGCAATGGTGTTATGTACAATTAAAACGCATTCAAAACTTTTATCTGATCATTTTAATATAGCAATTACTATATTTCCTCGAAAAATTGAGTCATGGCGTATGATATGGTGACGATACAGGATAATAAAAAATATATTATAGCGTTTTCTAGAAAAGTGAAATTGAAGTTTATATGATATAAGCATTGTATTAGAACAATAAAAGATTGTGTAAAAAACTTATTTGTTCAGATTTGTTTAAACTGTTTATGTAAAAGTACACAAAATACCTTAAGTAGACTGTAAGGGTGTTTGTAGGTATATTGTATCACTGTTCCTATATTACCTGTAAGTAGTCTGTCAGGATGTTTGTAGGTATATTGTAGAACTGTTCCTACAGTACATGTAAGTAGGCTGTCAGTGTGTTTGTAGGTATATTGAACCACTGTTCCTACAGTACATGTAAGTAGGCTGTCAGAGTATTGGTAGGTATATTGTACCACTATTCCTACAGTACATGTAATTAGTCTGTCAGGGTGTTTGAAGGTATATTATACCACTGTTCCTATAGTACCTGTAAGTAGTCTGTCAGGATGTTTGTAGGTATATTGTACCACTGTTCCTACAATACCTGTAATAAGCCTGTCAGGGTGTCTGTAGGTATATTGTACCACTATTCCTACAGTACATGTAAGTAGGCTGTCAGAGTATTGGTAGGTATATTGTACCACTATTCCTACAGTACATGTAAGTAGGCTGTCAGAGTATTGGTAGGTATATTGTACCACTATTCCTACAATACCTGTAAGTAGTCTGTCAGGATGTTTGTAGGTATATTGTATCACTGTTCCTATATTACCTGTAAGTAGTCTGTCAGGATGTTTGTAGGTATATTGTATCACTGTTCCTGCAGTACCTGTAAGTAATCTGTAAGTGTGTTTGTAGGTATATTGTTCCTACAATACCTGTAAGTAGTCTGTCAGTGTGTTTGTAGGGATATTGTATCACTGTTCCTATATTACCTGTAAGTAGTCTGTTTGGGTGTTTGTAAGTATATTGTACCTCTGTTCCTACATTACCTGTAAGTAGTCTGTTTGGGTGTTTGTAAGTATATTGTACCACTGTTCCTACAATACCTGTAATTAGCCTGTCAGGGTGTCTGTAGGTATATTGTACCACTATTCCTACAATACCTGTAAGTAGTCTGTCATGGTGTTTGTAGGTATATTGTTCCTACAATACCTGTAATAAGCCTGTCAGGGTGTCTGTAGGTATATTGTACCACTATTCCTACAGTACATGTAAGTAGTCTGTCAGTGTGTTTGTAGGTATATTGTATCACTGTTCCTACAGTACCTGTAAGTAATCTGTCAGTGTGTTTGTAGGTATATTGTACCACTGTTCCTACAGTACATGTAAGTAGTCTTTCAGTGTGTTTGTGGGTATATTGTACCACTGTTGCTACAGTACATGTAAGTAGTCTGTCAGGGTGCTTGTAGGTATATTGTACCACTGTTCCTACAGTACATGTAAGTAGTCTTTCAGTGTGTTTGTGGGTATATTGTACCACTGTTCCTACAGTACATGTAAGTAGTCTGTCAGGGTGTTTGTAGGTATGTTGTATCATTGTTCCTACAGTACTTGTAAGTAGTCTGTCAGTGTGTTTGTAGGTATAGTGTACCACCACTTTTCCTATAGTACCTGTAAGTAGTCTGTCAGTGTGTTTGTAGGTATAGTGTACCACTTTTCCTACAGTACATGTAAGTAGTCTGTCAGTGTGTTTGTAGGTATATTGTACCATTGTTCCTACAGTATCTGTAAGTAGTCTGTCAGTGTGTTTGTAGGTATAGTGTACCACTTTTCCTACAGTACCTGTAAGTAGTCTGTCAGTGTGTTTGTAGGTATATTGTACCATTGTTCCTACATTACCTGTAAGTAGTCTGTCAGGGTGTTTGTAGGTATATTGTATCACTGTTCGTACAGTACCTGTAAGTAGTCTGTCAGTGTGTTTGTAGGTATATTGTACCATTGTTCCTACATTACCTGTAAGTAGTCTGTCAG